TTCGAATTCCAACAAGAGGAGAACACAAAAGAACAGAAGCAGTCCACATATCCTTACTCCTTCCTCAAAAAAAAAGTCTATGCATTTCCTTCAATTCAGAAGAGAGAACCAAAGGAAACAGAAGCAGTCCCAACGATATCCTTTCCCGTCCTTACTTCTGGTGTCTTTACCCTTTCTCCACCAACGCGAGACTCTAGGATTCCTACCTTATGGAGTTCCTACAGCCGAGCGGGGTCCTGTGTCGCTGAAGTATCCGAAGTGTGTTGAGGCGAGCAAGGAGTGTTGCTTCCCCGCCCCAAGCCAAAGTCCAGATCACTACTGAACGGTCGCTTCGGAGTCGCCATTGAGGTCAAAGCAGGATTCTGGCCCGCTAATGCCCTCCCTCTTCTCCTTCGCTCCCCTTCCCCTCCTTAACTTCCTTCCAACAGTGCCCTCCCTTCTCCCCTCACCCTTCCCACTTCTCTCTTCGTCTTCCCTATTTTCATAACCCTCCCAACTACTTCCGCACTGAGCATCTCCTCACATTCCTTTCCTAACTTCCTTTCTCCCTCTCTTCTCCTCAAATTTCTATCCCTCTTCTCAAAGAACCTTTGTTTCTCAAGTCCTCTTCACCCCAAACTCCCCTCCAAAACTCCTGATGTACATCCAAAACTTCTTCATAAGAAGCACTGCTCCCTCATCCACCCTCCAGTCACTCTGTTCCTACACCCTCTACATTTAAAGTATTTGCTGATATCCAGCCTCCTCCTCTCCTCAAGTTACCCCACTCCTTTCCTCCTACACTTTCCAACACATCCCATCCTCTCTACCGCTCCCACTTGAATGCTCACACGAATCCCTTCTGTCACAAATAATTACCTTTTCCAGACCTACCTCTTACCTCCTGACACTCTTCCTGATACTCACCCAGCTTCCCCAGTCCCCCTTTTGCATCCCCTGATTGTTCTCCTCTTGCTTCTCCAACAGCCATCTCTGTTTTTAAACAAAGTCCCTATTCCTTCCTAAGTCATAGATACACTGCAATTCACTCCATCACCCTATCCCCTTAACCCTTCCCTTTTTAATAATCACTGCTCTACTTCATTTGCTACTCTTTTTTTCCCTTTTCACTGCCATGCTATCCATAATGCTCTGTAATCTTTAACATTCAACACTCCCCGGATTATTCTCCTCCTACTTTTCCAACAACCATCTCTGTTTTCCCTTGAATAATGTTCCTATTCCTACACAGCAGTTCACTCAATCGCCCTACCCCCTTAACCCTTCTCTTTTTACTAATCTCTTCTCTGCTTCATTTGTTCCCCTCTTTTCCCATTTCACTACCATATTATCCTATAATGCTCTCTAATCTTTGACGTCTAACACATTTTTTCCTAATATTTAAATCTTCTTTACCCTTTGCACTACAATACTTTATCATAGTGCTATATGACCTTGATGTCTAGCATATTTATTGGGTTCTGTCATTAACCATTAACAGGGTGTCATACAATCTAAATTAGTTGGCATGAGACTGATTATGTAAACTTTAACAGATGGGATGATAATACCATGTGTAAAAAAGGGATGTGTATAATTGGAGAAAAAAACTTTTATTTTTATGAAAAAACAAAATATATTTACAATCACGCTCTGGGCTGCTATTCCCATTGCCTACCTGTAATTGTTCATATGAATGAAAGAACAGCAGTAAATGCAGTTACATGCATTATAGTATTATCACCTGTCCTAAGTAGCCAACTATGAGGGGAGTAGCCAGTCATCTGTAGCCATGATCTAGTCAGCCATGACATGAACAGCATGTTACCCAGAGCCACTTGGTTAAATAAGGAGAGCATGATCATGAAATAGGGAAAAAGTCCATTGAGCAACAACAACAAAAATACATTCCAAGATACATCAGAGAACTCAGAGTACAGACAAACTGCCAGACACAAAGTGAATAACATAGTATCTGCTCTCTTTGTGGCAGATAAGAAAATACGAGATGGTCATAGCTCATGGCAATGGACCTGATAGAGGGGAGGGAGGAGAGGGTTTTTTTTCTGTTCCTTCCTTCCTTGGCTTAAAGATGTTCTGTGCAGCTGCAATGTTTGGTAGGAAGCAACTCATTTTATATATTTGATTACACTAATATATTTATTAGCAATAGATTTAAAAATAAAAAAAATCAAGGAAAATTGCATAGACCTACCAATTAGCTTCTTGTTGGATAAGCACTTATTAAGTCATCTATGTGTCAGAAAAAAAAAAAATGTGGACAGTATATGCATACCTAATATACCTTGACAACAGACACCAAGAGACAAAACAAGCACTTAGTTATTTATTTTTTTTATTAGTTATCATGCATTGTTGCTTTTGCACTAGTAGTATCATTGTTAATTAATAGCTTTATATTTATATTTATGATGATGGTATTGTTGTGATTCATGTTTTTATTATTATCATTTTATTGTGTTAATTACTATCATTATGATGCTGGCAATGACTGTTAATGTTATTATTAACATTGTTATTATTATTATTATTATTATTTATTTTCCCTCAAAAGGAAAGCAAAAAATAACTCTCTGGTACTTACAAATTATGTTAGGGCTGGTTGGCCTTGTCATCTCCTACGCCCTCACGATCAGCAACTTCTTGAACAATGTGGTGGGATCCCTCACTGAGACAGAACGAGAACTAGTGAGCGTCGAGCGAGTCAAGCAGTATCTGGATGGTGCAGAGCCAGAGAGAAGAGAAGGCACTGCAGTCCCTCCATTTGGCTGGCTGAGCCATGGCTCCATCCGGTTCCAAAATGTCTCCCTGCGATACCAGTGAGTGGTCTTAGGCTCTTCCGCATTTTTTTTTTTTTTTTTTTTTTTTTTTTTTTTTTTTTTCCCCACTTATTAATATAAATGAATTTTTAGTGTAATCTACCTTTGAGTCATTTTAGTCAGAAGAGTTTGCTTAAGTATAGTTTTCAAAATCAAATGATAGAACTTCTCTCCCTGTGTTATTAAATAATTTGGATTGTGATCATTCTTTGATTCATACCTGTTGTTTCGTATACATTTTTCAGTGAGCACAACCCTTATGCCTTGAAGAAAGTTAATTTTGAGGTGGGAGCATCTGAGAAGGTTGGCATCATTGGTCGCACAGGTGCTGGCAAAAGTTCCATATTTACTGCTCTGTTTCGGCTGGTTGAACTGACTCGTGGCCGAATATATGTTGATAATGTGGATATTTCAAAATTAAGCCTTAAAAGATTACGGTAAGTTGACAATATATTGTATTTTCTTGATAGAAGTACTTACATTAAGTGTATAAGCATGAAATTCACCACTTTATTGTTTCACATGTTAAACATACACATTATGTTGGAACATGGAGTATTCCTTTTTTTTTCTCTTTCTCTCATTTCTGCTCAGTAAGTATTATATGTAGCAGAAGGACTTTCTTGAAATGTTTATATTCATCAAATTTGTAGGGAGTGTTTTCTTTTTAAAGTTCAGCTGATTATACACATACTCATGTTTTAAACAAGGTATGTAATTGGCAATATCCAGTCTAGTTAAACTAACATTTAGAATATAGATTTAATATGTAAGCCAGTTATTGGATAAGAGCAGAAATTGATGAAGAAAATTGTAAGATGTTATCTCTTTATAAAATGACATCTTTTAGGTCCAGCATGGCCATTGTAACACAAGATGCTCTGCTGTTTAGTGGGACAGTTAGGGAGAATCTTGACCCATGTGGGGAGTCTCTTGATTCACAAGTGTGGCAGGCACTGAAGTCATGCCATCTGGCTGAGCTGGTCCAGACTCTTGGAGGCCTTACAGCCAGAATAGAAGAGGCTGGGAAAGCCATGTCATCAGGAGAGAGACAACTATTTTGCCTAGCAAGGGCACTTCTGTGCAGAACAAAGGTTTGTTTTTATGACTGTCATTTTCACTTAATAGTATACCTTTTATCAGTACATGCTTACACAAAAAAATGCACTTGTGTAACATACAAATGTTACACTTTTAAATACCTTAGGGACTAAGTGCAGAACAGTTGTTATGCACTTGGTATATTCATATTCATATTCTGTATGTTTATATATATATATATATATATATATATATATATATATATATTATGATATATATATATATATATTATATATTATATATTATATATATATATTATATACATATATATATATATTTATAGTATATATATATATCATATATAATAATTATATATATATATATAAATATAATATATATATATATATATATTATATATATATATATATATGTATATTATATATATATACTATTATATATATAATATTTATATATATTATATATATATATAATATATGTATATATATATTATTATATATATTATTATTATATATTACTATTATATATACTATATATATAATATATTATAATTAATATATATTATTATATATATTAATAATATAATATATATATATATATATTATAATATATTTATTATATATATAGTATATATTATATATATATATATATATATAATTAATTACATAATATATATATATATATTATATATATATAATATTATATATTATATTATATATATATATATTTCAAATAACAGGTTGTGTGCATAGATGAAGGAACTTCCCAGCTTGACAATGAGACAGATAAGCAAATCCAGCAAACCATTCGCAGTGCCTTCAGGAACAAAACAGTCCTCATCATTGCTCATAGGGTGCACACGGGTTCGTGACTGTGATAGGTAAGTGTGCAGTGATGCTACCTCCTTTATGAGGGTACAGAGAATAAGTTCACAGTACTTCTTTGTTATTTGGCATATTTTTTGTATTACTACAGTTATTGATAACCAGAAGTTATAAGTAAATCTTTGCAGCTGTAAATAAAAAATAAGTTTTGGACATGGGAATGTTTGTAATCTTCATATGTAGAATTATTTTTTATTTGATAATGTTCAAAATTGAAGAAGATAGCCATGAAAATATGATTTAGAAATGACTATAGCTATTTTAGGTATGAAAATATGAAATAGAATAGAGAGTTTATCATAGTTTTGGTAATCTTTTTTCTTTATGGTATGATAATTTTGCAATGTACTGATTTACAAAATAAGATTTTTGAAAGGCCAGTTTCAGGAAGAGGCTTAATGAAACAAGAAATGTTAGTTAAATTCAAATATATATCCATTTTTTTTTTTTTCTCTCTCTTTTTTTTCTACCAACAGAATATTGGTGATGAGTGGTGGAGAGGTGGTTGAGAGTGGCCGGCCCACAGAACTGCTCTCTGACAGGGATTCTCATTTTTACTCCATTCTTCACTCTCAGTGAGTGAGAGACAAGGAATGGATCTGATTTAAAAAAAAAAATCAATTGTTTTCAGCGACTGAACAATCTCTCTTATGTAGTGCTTCCTTTCCTTCCTGATTTTATTACCAACAACTCTCATTTTAAATATCTTCATCTCATTTTCTTGACTTTGCATTTTAGTTTCTTTTCTTTGTTTTGCTCTCTTTTTTTTTTTTCTTATTTTCATACTTTTATTTTAAGGACATTCTTACTGCTTCTGGAGATATTTACAAGGTGTATATATGTTTCATGTATATTGTATTTCAGTGTATTTCCCTGATTACCTGATCAAGATACGTATCTTATTTTGTCAGTAAGCGGCGGCTGTGTCTCATTTCTAAGTAGAAAAAAAAAATTCTATTTTATTTTTGATACAAAAGCTCAAGGTGAAAAATGGTTAGCTATAGATGTATCTCTTTATACTGAATGAGATATGTTTTTTAAAATAATCTCTCTTATTATTCATATGTATATTATTATTCTGGTATCTGATTGAGCCACGTTTTATCAGTGAATACTTATTTTTATCATGCACATGTCCACACACCAGCACATACTACACATACCACACATACACCCACATACCCCCATACCCCACATAACCCTCACCCACACACACACACACACCACACACACACGACATGAAAGTTTTTAAAGCAGCTTGACACATTTTAAGAACTGTATCCTTTTAGCTGCTTTTTCATTTGGTGGAATTGTAATGATATGCTCAGGGTGTGATTGTCAAACATTGATATTTTTAAATACTAAATAATGAGATTTTATTAGCTTGAACTTATATTAGTCTTTCCCTGGTAAATGTGTGTGGACACATACATGCCAACACACGCCCATGCATGCGTACACACACACACATGCTAACACACAGACACACACAACTTCAGACAGATACACCTTCAGACACACACACTCACACTCAGATACACACTCAGACACACACATATTCACATGCACACACACTCACACAACACACAACACACACACACTCACACACACACACACTCTCACACACACACACACACACACACACACACTCACTTCACTCACTCACTCACTCACACTCACTCACCTCACTCACTTCACTCACTCACACACACACAACACACACACACAACACACACACACACACACACACACACACACACACAACACACACACACACACACACACACACACACACACACACACACACACACACACACACACACACACACACACACACACACACACACACACACACACACACACACACAACACACACCACACACTCACTCACTCACTCACTCACTCACTCACTCACACACTCACACTCACCACTCACACTCACTCACTCACACACTCACTCACTCACTCACTCACTCACACACACACACACTCACTCACTCACTCACTCACTCACTCACT